TACTAGGTCGTCCCTGGTTACATGAATATGGCATTATACCGTCAACATTACACCAGTGTATGAAATATCTTAAAGATGGAGAAGAATTCAGGATATCTGGTGACATCCAACCCTTTACAGTTCATGAAGCAATAGTTTATGAAGATACACTGTATTTCATGCCAAAGAAGCAAAAGTTTTCGAGCTCCCTCGAAGCTAAAGCATTAAATTCAAAGGCTGCAAAGCGATCTGAACGGGAAGGTGAAAAGAAGTAGGTGGGGAGAAAGAAGGCAATGCCGACTCTTCTCAAAGCATCGACCATTCCAAAAGAGAAGAAATTTATACCTCATCTTGGGAGTGATACATATGAAGATGATGTTACTCCTACCAAATCCCGAAAAGTATGCCAGTCCACAGATGAATAGAATAGGCAGGTTGAATTTTTAAATGATGACTATGACTACGACTCTATTTATATGAATACGGTGCAGAGTGTGTTCTCTAGAAGAATAGACAGCCTATCAATTTCAGATAGTGTACTTGTAGTCACATGTGTTCCCTTGCAACACTTCAAGGAATTCATTCCGCGTGAGGTGCATAAAGTTGAAGAATCCGCTACTCTATCTGCCTCCCCTTAAAAATGGGAGTGTGCCAAAGAATGTGTTATATTCCACGGGAGTTCGCGAAGAGAAAAATTATGACTGGGATTGCATGATCCTCGATTCCGAAGAGTTATTTCCTACGAGGCTACCCAGGTTCAATACCAAGAATATTCAAAGAATGCTACGAAAATAAATCAATATTCCTACTACCAAATGATAGCTTCGTACAAGTCTGGGCCTCTGGTATGTAAGGAATCCGCGTCCCCTACGGCAGAAGGATACAGAAGCATATAAAGTTATCGGTTTTATCAACGAAAATTTCTCCGGAAAGAGACTTGCCGGGGAATCACATGCATAGAAATTAAATCCGAGGATGATGTTGCTGAACAGACATACGAGGCTGATGATTAAGATGAGCAGCCCGTAGAAGCCGAACCTGCACCATAAGAGCTTGAAGATGGTGAACATGCAGCTACTTTGGATGAACTGAAAGAAGTCAACTTGGGAACTGAGGAAGATCCTCGCCCAACCTTCATTAGTTCTCTCCTACCCGAAGAACAAATAGAAGAAATAAAAGAACTTCTTTGTGAATTCAGGGACTGCTTTGCCTAGACATATGCTGAGATGCTGGCTTATCCCCTGACGTAGCAGTTCACAGATTAGCAATCAAACTGGATGTAATACCCATCGAACAAGCTCCAAGGAGAATGAGATTGGAGATTGAAGAATAGGTAATTACAGAGACGAAGAAGTTCATTGATGCAGGCTTTATTCGAGAAGAAAAGTATGCTGATTGGATCGCAAATATTGTCCCTCTAAAGAAGAAGAATGGACAGATTCGTGTATGTATTGACTTTAGGAACCTCAATAAGGCATGCCCAAAAGATGATTTTCCACTCCCTGTATCAGAACTACTAGTGGACAACACTTCCAACTACGACATATTCTCATTCATTTATGGATCATCAGGCTACAATCAAATCAAGATGGCTCCCGAAGATGAAAAGCATACATCGTTTATGATGCCCATCAGGATTTTCTGCTACACAGTAATGCCCTTTGGCCTGAAGAACGCTGATGCCACCTACCAGCGGGCAATGACTCACATATTTGATGATTTGATACATCAGATGGTCGGGTGCTATGTAGATGACCTTTTTGTTAAAAGTCTTAGTCGAAATGATCACTTAAAAGATCTCAGAATTGTATTTGAGAGAATAAGAAAGTTTGATCAGAAGATGAACCCTCTCAAATGTGTATTTGGGGTCTCCTCCGGTAAATATCTGGGTTATGTTGTTCGTCATCGAGGCATAGAGATCGACACCAACAAAATTAAGGCGATCACGGAGATGCTACCACCAAGGAACCTTCGACAGCTTCGCTTGCTGCAAAGACAACTGGCTTTCATTCAGAGATTTATATTAAACCTATCGGGTAGGTGCCAGCCATTTTCAAAGCTAATGAAGATAGAAGTCCGTTCAAATGGGACGCAGAATGCCATGAAGCTTTTGATAGTATCAAGAAATACTTGTTGAATCCACCCATTCTTACAGCGCTAATTCAGGGGAAGCCTCTTATATTATATACAACAACACTAGAAGAGTCCCTCGGGGCACTATTGGTCCAGAATAATGAAGAAGGCAAAGAAAATGCACTCTACTACATCAGTCGAAGGTTGATTGGAGCAGAAAGCCGTTATTCCCCAATTGAAAAGCACTGCCTGGCGCTGATTTTTGCAGTTCAGAAACTCCGCCACTATATGCTATCCCATAAAATGACATTGATATCAAAGATCGATCCGTTGAAGTTCTTGATGACAAGACCAACGTTGACAGGTCGTCTAGGCAGGTGGGCAGTATTATTATTGTAGTTTGGAATCATATACATGCCACAGAAGGAGGTGAAAGGACAGGCCTTGGCATATTTTCTTGCTACACACCCAATCCCGGCCGATTCTCCACTAAACGATGATTTGCCCGATGAGCAGATAATGCAGGTCGAGGAGAATGAAAGGCTACCATTCTGGGAAATGTACTTCGATGGGGCATCGTAGATTAGACCTGTCCGACCTCCAAATATTGCAAGAGCCCGAGCTGGCATCGGTCTCCTTTTCGTAGCACCTGAAGGAGGCATAATGAGATTTTCATTCAGTTTGATTGAACCTCGGACCATCAATGAAGCCGAATACGAAGCTGTAAAAGTAAGGTTGGAGATTGCAATTGACGTCAAAATTCAAAACCTTCAGATTTTTGGTGACTCTCAACTTGTGATAAATCAAGTCTTGGGAATTTACAAGATTTGTAAGGTTGAATTGACTCACTATCAACAGAGGACCCTTGAGCTCTTAAAGCAGGTGCAAAATGTTAAAATAGTTCAAATTCCTCGAGGACAGAATGCCAAAGAAGATTATTTGGCCAAATTGGCCAAAGAAATGGCAAATTCCAATGAGGAGAAGCCTATATTCATCGGAGTTTACAACCGTCGGATCTTGGAGCCTGCTCTATTACAATTTCCGATAGCGGAAGGAATTCCAAATTCAAGTCAGCAGGATGAAACCCAAGTTGACCCTCAACCTCTCCATCAGATCATTATGGAGAATTATCCGAAAGGATATCATACGGCCAAGAGATATAAAGCTAGTCAAGCTTCAGAATCGTGGTGGCATTGTTTAGATATTAAAGTCAAAAATGATTGGAGATAGCCATTCATTGATTACTTCAAGGAAAACAAACTCCCAACAGAAAAGTCTATGGCCACACAAAAATCCGAAAAAGAGCGTTGCAATACGCATTTGTCAACGACACGTTGTACAGACGAGCTTTTGATCAAATGTGGCTAAGGTGAATGGGAACCAGGGAAGCTAATAAAGTGGTATCAGAAGTCCACGAAGGAATTTGTGGAGCACATCAGCCAGGTCCCAAGATGGCCGCTAAAATCAAAAGGATGTGATATTATTGGCCAGCCATGGTCAGAGATTGTATTGACTATGCAAAGAAGTGTCACGAATGTCAAATCCACTGTGATGTTATACATCAACAGCCAAATCCTTTGCATCCAATAGTAGCATCCTGGCCATTTGAATGTTGGGGCACAGACATAATTGGGCCAATAGATCTTCCATCATCAGCGGGTCATCAATTTATTCTGGCAGCCACAGACTACTTTTCAAAGTGGGCAGAAGAAGCTCCATTCAGAGAGGTCACATCGGAGCATGTGATCAATTTCCTTACCCACAATGTCGTTTATAGATTTGGTGTGCCACGCCGAATAATCTCAGACAACGGTACTACTTTCAAAAGTACAAAAATTTACAAGTTCGTTGATCGGCTCAAAATCGATTGGCGGTATTCATCCATATACAATCCAAGGGAAAATGGCTTGGCGGAGGCCTTCAACAAGACGCTGGTGAAATTGTTGAAGAAGATTCTCACCAAGAACAAAAGAGAGTGGCATACGAAGAAGGCAGAAGCTCTATGGGCCTATCGTACGATTTACAAGACTCCAACCAAAGCCACTCAGTATTCTCTAGTGTTCGGTGTTGAAGCTGTGTTACCATTAGAATTTGAACTACCATCAATCTGGGTAGCGATCCAGAATGAGCTAACTTAGGAACAAATTGATCGCCTCAGAATGGAAGAGCTCGACGCACTTGATGAACTCAGGTTACAAGCTCAGCAGAATCTAGAGATCTACCGAGGAAGAATGGCAAAGTCCTTTGATCGGATGGTGCGTCCTCAGACATTTCAAGAGGGGGAATTGGTCCTGGTGCTGAGAAGACCAATCATCCCGCACAGAAAAGTTGGTGGCAAATTCGTATCCAATTGGGAAGGCCCCTTCGTCATCGTGAAAGTGTACCAAGGAGGAGCATATCAGTTGATCGTTCTGAATGGTCAGAGGCCTATACCGCCTATCAACGGTCGACATTTAAAGAAGTATCATGTCTAAATTTTTTATAACTAATATATTTTGTGATGAACAAAGTTCTATATACATAGTTATCAGAGCATGCATATATTTATATTTTGAAATTCTCTTGTATAACAAGAACGCATTTCAAAATCCTCCATCAAACTGGGAGCATTTTAAATATTTATTCGGGTTGAAATTACTAAATGATAAGAGGGCGGGTGAATTGTGAAAATCTTTTTCTCAATAAAAAGTAACCCTAAATAAGATTATAATCTTTTTGTTATTTTTTAAATTTAACAACAAAAACTCAAAAAAAATTTCATATCTAACAGAAATTTGAATCATAAAAATAAAAATAAACTCATATCAAGGGAAGGAAATGCAGATCCAACTCTTGTCGTAGGTTAACAAGAAATAAAATCCTTTTTTTTATTTAATTTCCTTTAAAGAAAACAACCAAGGCACATATCTCTTTCATTCTTTCAAGAAGACATAGAGATGGATATAAATGAAATGGAAGAAGAAGAAGAAAGTTTACTACTCTTTATTACCTTTGATTGTACAAATCGCAGCAGCGAAAGATTTGCTTAAGGTTTCTAGAATTGGAGATCAGACAAGATAAAGGAAAGCTCTGGGAGACGTCGGCTGTTCGCGAATGGGAGGAGAGATGAGCTGAAGGGGATTCCGATTCTGGGCTTCTCGTGTGTTCAAGAGAGGGAAACAAGGTAGGCGACGAGCTTCTGAACTGAGAGGAGGCGTGCGAATCAGATGGAGACTGGCGGTGGAGGCTGAACGCGAATAATATGGGCAAAAGACTGAGGGGGGTTTCTTCCGCCTGTATCTTTTCATGATCCGAGAGAGAGGGGTTGAGGGTTCGTTCAAATAGATGGGGAGAAGGGGATTTCGGCTCTAGCTTCTCACGCGCGACAGGGAGAGAGCGACAATGAGGTTCGGGCTATACGTATGAGAGGAGATGGGCTGTGAGTGTGAATGGCTCGTGAGGGAGGAGACGAACAGAGGAATCACGGGTTGGGGGAGTTCGGACTGGGGGGTTTTCATACGAATGGCAGTTTCTTGCTTGTGCAAATAAGAAAATGGGAGAGACGTGGGGTTCGTGCGGCTTTTCTTCCGAAAAATAGAGAGGGAGATCGTGAGTTGTGAACCGCTGAGTGAGAGAGGGCTTGGATGGTTTGTGTGATCTGGAGAGAAATTTCGTGAGTGCTAGGTTCGGTTCTGTGTGTATAGAGAGGAGAGAGAGAGACATGGGGAATAAAGTTCTTGCATTAGGATTTCAAAAGTTATCTTTTGATTTGAATTTTTTTATTAACATATAGTTATTAGGATATATATAAATAAAAATAATCAAATTTTCACGTTTGAGATTAATATATATATAATATAATATCAAATTAAATTTTCCCATTTAAAAGAAAATTGATATTAGCTCGCGACGAATCAAATCGGGCTAATCGGGGCCATTGTTATTAAAAAAAAAAAAAAGAACTAGAGTCGAATGAATTTGATTCGATCTGATCCGATTGGTGAATTGATTTGAGCCCAATGATGTATCAATTTGATTGAAAAATCACATTAAAATGAGTCGATCGATATCGACGAATCATAAATCGAGCTTGATTTGAGTTCGCTTGGAGTTGATTTAAAATTGGATTGAATTGATTTTGATTCGAGTTGAGTGATAGGTTCGAGTCGATGCTACATCAGTGGGCGTCCAGCGAAGGGAAATCCTGCGGGTGTGACATCTACACTAGGCTACGAAAACCTAGGTACAAGAGTCGATTCCGGGGAAATTGACCTCGAATAATGAGGTCAACAGAAACACTGGAGCTACCATCCAGTTTGGTAGCGTTGACTTCCCGGCGATTGCTGCAAGGAATGCCGCCATTCCTTTGAATGGTAGGAATGTTGAGAAGTCTGCCAGAAGACTCAATGCTGATGAAGCTGTCACCCATCATGTACATCTCCCATTACAACGACCTACTACAGAAACTTCTCGTGGGAGGATTTCTGTGTTCAAGAGGCTGTCACAGCCTGAGGTCCCAACCACTAAGAGGATCATAGCTAACGGAAGAATCTCAGTGGTGACTGCCAACACCACAACTATGTCAACCAGGTTATATGTACCTGGAAAGTACAATGATGAAGCCTCCTCATCTGGAGGAAGGCCTACAAGGAGGCAAAGATGGAAGATGAACGCTGAGCTTCGAGCTCAACATCAACAACTCCTGATCCACCCATCAAATTTGCCTGCCCAAGAGGTAGAATATGTCATTCCAACCCAGAATGGGTTTGCAAATTTGAAGTGGGTCAAAAGAAATAGCTCTACTGGAGAGCTAAAGAAATCTTTTTGGGATCGACGGCCTGAAGCCCCAATCCCTCCAAAGAAGAAAGAGCCCGAAACTC